GAGAGAGAGAGAGAGAGAGAGAGAGAGAGAGAGAGAGAGAGAGAGAGAGAGAGAGAGGAATTTCCAACAAATTTTTAACGCGCCGCAGTTAAAGAATTAAATTTTTGCTAAAATGCAAAATCGCGGATAAATTCTTTTGCAATTAAAGTTCCATATGCAGCTTTTTTTTATTCATCAGCATATCTATGTGAGAGTATCACGTAACAGCGCCAATCTCGACCTTTCTCCCCTCGTTGAATCCCTCTTATCAAACGAGGAACATTCATTCACGCCTTTCCCTTTAATGAAACAGACCCTCGGCCGTCCGTTTCTCCTTGCTTCTCTTCTTCCGCGGCGGAAACGTTTTCCACTTGTTTCCATCGCGCGGCAGGCCGGACGCGTGCGTGTTCTTCCTCGTTACATACGTCTGCACGCACGCACGCACGCACGCACGCACGCACGCACGCACGCACGTACGTACGTATGTACGCGAATACACGTGCACGCTCGCGTGGGCGTGCATTCTCGACTTGCGTGTGTGAGGCACGGTTACGACACGGCGGTTCCGTTGCATGCCGGAACGTGAGGTTAAAGGAACGCCTCGCGTGAACAGGTTCCCTTCTTTTCCACGACACCGACCGCCGAAGGGAATAGTGAGTTTCATCAGCGCGACGACATAGTCAGAGACTGACATTGGACCGCGTTCTCACCACGCATTTAAACGATAAACGTGAAGGATCCTCCGAGAACGGTACAAATGAATTTCAAGTATGCGAATGCAAGAATCTTATTTAAAAAAATTACTCTGAAATTTATTCTAAAATCTTTAATCCTGGATTTGTATTAGAATTAAAGTTATATTTAAAAGTGACAATGTAATTACACGGAATGATTTTGTTGAAGTATGTAAAAATTTAGCTAGATCTGAAAATAATTTTTTTGGAGCATCAAAATAATTATCCAGAAAATTCAAGTATGATGAACAATGCTGTGAAAAGTTTTAACATTCTAGCAATTAGCTTGAGCCTAATATAATTATTTTGATGATCTAACAAAATTATTTTCAGATTGTATCTATAGCTGAATTTTTAGATACTTTAGCAAAATCGTTCTTTCTATAAAAATTGCGACGTACGAAGTGTTCTGATTTTATTAGGAAAAAAATCTATAAAGTGCGAAATTTTCCGATTGAAGTTGCCTATAAAATAGTAAGTATTTTCGTCGTCGCTGGACGATATAAATGTTTAAATGGAGATAAGATACATAGAGCAAGTTCTCCATTGTAGGATTCTGCCTCGATAGAACGATACTTCATAGAATTTTTCCGAATATACGCTTCTCGTTACCGACGAACGTCGCGCTTTGATAAATCGCCCGTGTTTGCCATTAGTCGTCGTTTCCGTCTCGATGAAAAATGCGGCTGCGCGCTAATAAACAATACAATGTCGAATGCGGCGCGGCCGTTCTAAAATTGTGAACGTTCCCACGAAGCCGAGTAATTTGTACCGTTCGAGACGCGATCGTTAAACTCTTTCGTGCGGCGAGTTAGCAGGTTTCTTGCTGGCAAGCAGCGAACTCTACCAACCGGTCAGCAGTCGTCAAAGACTTAGATGTTCGTGTAATTCGAACTGTGATTATTATTAACTCCTAGGGACACGATTACTTACTTACTGGAATTGATGAAATGCCATACGAATTCAATACTATTTTTTTTTAACGTTGAGAAGGAGAAAGAAAAAATGGAACAGATATAAAAATAGAGATTTGTAAGTTTTATTTATAATATTTAGTATTTGCATTGCTTTATTATCAGGACATAATTAATATGATCGTTATGAAGCAGGAAATGAGGGAAATATCAGGAAAATTGAAAATAGTCATTAGGGAAATCAGTTAGGCAATTTTCCAAAATTTTCTGGAAAATTAAATTTCTTGGCTTTAAAGAAGTTTAATATACGTACATTGCACCCGTAATTTTGGAATATTATATCAACATCACAATTAAATGCAAGCTTGAGTCAGTAACATTAATAGTAATTTACATTGCTATGTTAAAGTGCTCCCTCAACAAAATATTATTGAAAGTAAAGAAAAATCATGAAATTTTGTATGAAAATCAGGAAAAGTTACGGAATTTTAGGATGAGGAATTTATGACAACTCTAATATATGTATGTATGAAATATAAAAAAATATTTTGTAAGTAAAGTTAATAATTTTTTTGAATTCTTGACTTATGTAATTCATTTCATAAATCATTGTTATTATTTTTAACAAATTTTCAATATTATTATTATTTCAATATTATTATTAATGATAAAGAATGTGACAAAGGACTTTAAGGGCGAGTCGAGCAGTAAATTAGAGTGAACTAGATTTCAAAGTACAATAGAATATCTCACGCTGTATCAGCTGTGAAGATTTTGGTGTTGCGAGCTTTTGTTCTCAAAGTTGTCGCGTTTCAACTAAGTGAATTTTCCTTCTCTGAGAGGTCGGTTGTCAACGGAGTCAGATGCCGGGCAGAGACGGGCTTAGATACGACTTCGTTCGCGCATGCAGTCGGCGTGGCAAAACCACAAGGCACCGCTCAGAGCGCGGACATAGGACAGTGCATTTAGGGTCGATGCCCTCCTCTGTGTACCGTCGATGTTCGGTGCTCTACGTATTTTCTCTTTATCTCCTTCTTTCGCTCTTTCTCCCCACGTCGTGAGCTTTCCATGCCGTCTCTATCCTCGCCCGCCTTGTCCTCGGCCTGGATACTTGTTGGTGGACGGTCCTTAGAGATTCGCATGCGCCTCTTCGCGATGATCGAAAGAACGAATATGCCCCCGCATGTTTCGTTCTTGTCGTAGAAGAAAGAAAGAACGAGGGACAAAAGAAAAAGAAAACAATGAAGGAGAGCAAAGATCGATTCTCTTGAGCTTATAAGTCCGAGCGCGCAGCACGCGATTATCCTTATTAAATTAAACGCAACTAATTCCAAGGGCAGACTGATAAACGACTTATTTGCTTAATGACATAGAAGCAGGTAATTGCGATCGCCGTATAACAGTTTGTTCGAAGCGTTTCGACGAGAGCGAGGTAATCTCTGGGAATCGCGATGTGCTTGAACTTACTCGGAAACAATTACTTTGGTCATCTGCTTTTCCTTATACAGACCTTCTCAAATCTCGGTGTTATATGAAAATGTTATTTTCCGCATCCTACTTGTCTTACGCGAAAAGTCTTTAACGCTGAAGAGACAAAACTTTCGCATTATGTAAATATATACGTTAGATTGACAGTAAAGGAATCCCATTTTTTTGCCGTCTATATAAGCACGACCTTGTCCAAGAGCCGTATACTGTTATTATCCACTTTATTAAATTAAGCGAGAGCGATACAGAGAGAAGATAATGCAAGACGTGACTTGGAATTAATATCCCAACTTTTTAATGCATTTAAGCACTCTCAAAAGGCGATAAATTATCTCACGTGTAATTTAATATGCTGTACGTTGAAGTAGCACGCGTTATATCCACCGCTTTTCAACTACCTCTGTAATTTTTCAAGCCTTTAGTTGCTTCCAAAGCGCGCAATACGCTTTTCGCATATCTAAACATTCGCAAGGAATTTTGGTAATTTGATCTTCCTATCTTAAATTATTTGCGCGGAAAGAATAATTTTGCTGAAGTGTCGGAAAATTGAGTTGGATATACAGGTCTGAAATATTTTTGTTGAACAATCAGAATAATTACATAAATATCTCAAGCATGATGAGCAATGTAGCGAAAAGTTTTGACATTTCTAGGATTTGAGCGTTCTACATAATTATTTTGATGATCCAACTCAGCTGTTTTAATTCAGATCTATCTAAATTTTTGGTAAAGTTATTATTTTCGAGTAGAGATAACTAAGATAATAATATGAATAATTTCCTTATTTTTTGTTGATATAGTATAACAATGAATAAATTTTTTTTATCCTATACTAATTTGGAAGTTCCTATTTTGATTAAGTAAATTTTATGTACATAGAAAAAACGATTTTGCTGAAATATTAAAAAATTTAGCTGAATACAGATCTGAAAATTTTGTTGGATCATCAAATTACGTATACTTATCGCCAGTATGATGAGTAATATTAGAAAAAGTTTTGACATTTTAGCAACTAGTTTGAGCATTTTACATAATAATTACTTTTATAGTCTAATGTGTGCAATTCAGATCTGTATCTAAATTTTCAACAAATCCATTCTTTCCATGCAGAGATAACTAAGATAATAATATGGACAAATTCTCCATTTTTTGTTGACGTAATTTAATCCTTTGTCCTACATAATTATTTCGATAGTATAAATAAAATTATTTTCAGATCTGCGTTTAACTAAATTTTTAGGTACTTCAGCAAAACCGTTCTTACCGTAAGATTGCTCATTTTTCCAATTGTCTTCAATACAAGTCCAATCAACTCCAATCTTGAACCTTTCAATAAAGAACGACGATATCGCGCGAGGAACCCTAATGGATGGGAAAGAACGAAGTGGTCGCGGATTCTCGAGAACAGTGCGCTCTAAGAATCAATGAACGATTGTTCCTTAATTCCGCAATGCTCCACAGGTTGCAGTCGCGCGTGTATTTTTCGCACGCATTACTTACCCTTACTTCATCTCGGATTCTAATCGAATATACTTGGATCTTGATATCAAATTATCTTCGTTTTCCGCCGGCTGCTACCGTCGTCGCCATCACCGTTGTTGAGAATCTCTCTCGCGTCTGTATAGTCGCGCCGAACGGGTTTCCTTGTTTGACGAGTGACGCTTGAGCGATTTCAGAGGGATTGCGCTAAACAGAGATATAAATCCCTCTTGGCGTTCGCTTCGCTGAGGCACTTCGATGAATCACACGACTCAATGATCCTCAATCTCGGAATGAAATCGAACGGCTCTTTCTTTCTGTTGCAGGAATATCGCGGAGGATCTGATTTTGTCGGATGAAGAGAGCGAGGATGAGGAGAACAAGGTAACATATGTGAAGAGACATTTAATCTTTTAATGCTTTAAAAGATGTAAATAGTAAATTTTTATTATTCTTTTTCTATTATTTCACGTGACGGTAAAAGCTTCTTATTTTATTATTGAAATTTATACGAGCGGATTATCTAATACAATATATTTATTATTATTATTATTATTATTATTATTATTATTATTACGAAATTAAGTGAATCATCAGTTACTAAATTAAATATCATTTATAATATTAATTGTTTGCAATATTATATAATGAAATAACGCGCTTTCTGAAATAAACTTTTTGAAACTATATAAAAGTTGAACGATTAGCTGCACTTTCACCTTCAAATGTGTTTTTTCGTTGACTTTTTGCAATACCGCAAAGTACTTTCGCAAACCGACACGATCGAATCGTATTTGACGAAAAACTAAGTGGCCGTTCATCACGACAAGAAAGATTCCGTTCCACTTTATTTCACGGCGAAATTACTGATAGGTCTTCTTATTCTCAGGAAACATCATCGAGACCGACGAGAGGAAACAGGAGTCCGGATCTCACGGTCGTGTAAGTACCTCATTCGTAATTTTAAGCTTTGTTGTTTAAAAATTAACTAGGAAATTAACTAAAGGAAGGATCAAGGAATTAATTAAAAGTATGCTTATCGTTTCTTGAAATTATTTTATTATACTTAAAGATTTTTAAAACAAGAGAGTTTTTAAATATTTGAAATATTTGAAAGTTTTTTAACGTTCTTGAGAAGATATCTCATATTTTCGAAATCGTGCTTTTGACACAAACATTTACAGTTAATGTTTTAAATATGAGAATAATTCAAAAATAGAAAGAGAATTTTTTTAGATATCTTATACTTTTTTTAAGTGTCTGCACATTAATTTTCTTCAGTATACATGTGTATAAAGTATGAAACATTTTGTAATTGCGTTAGATTGGTCTTTGTTAAAAGACCAAAGTTTTGTGTTGAATTTTTAATGTATCCGACTATTAATTGAACATGTGATTGCGTTAATTGAACATTTTATGTTAAATTAATATTTATTATAATATTAAATATCCACATTTCTTATAAAAATTATTAATAAAATAACACAATTTATAAGCAAGTGAACAATTAATATAAAAATAATGTTTTTAAAACGTAAATTCTAAAATAAATGAATAAAATGTATTAATTTAATTTATTTTAAATGTTAATTTTACGGAGGAAATATGTTTTTATAATTTGCTCATAAATTGTGTCAGTTTTGTATTTTTTATTATTTTTTTTTTTTTTTTACGTAATATTTGTATTACTTCCTGACATATTTTGTGTTAAATAAAAAATTGGAATGGTCTGAGACATGTGAAACGTGTTAAATTTAATATGAATTTTCCAATACATCGTGATCTTGAAATTGAAAAATTTGTTCCAATTGGCCAACAAGACATTTCTACGCTTTCCAGTGTCTCGATACCTTTACCGAAAATCACGATGTCCAATTTTGAGCATCGTTTGATCAAACATCCTTACAGTCTATCGACACCATTGATGACATCGGCGCCGCCACCTTTGACACCTATGTCGCCCATGATCATGTCACCCGTGGGCCCATTGTCACCCTCGCGGCCGATCAGTCCGTCGAGATACTCGTCGCCACCACCAAAACGGACGACACCGGAGCGAGTGCTGTCTCCTCCAGCGGGTATCAATCATCCCCTGCCATCCGCGTGTTCCCCGACGAATCCGGTTGTCGTCGGCCAACCGTCGAGTCCAGCCGAGGCGCCGCATAGCTCCGGAAGCGCCAGCTCGAGCTCAGATTCGGGTTCAGATTCTGGCTCGGACAGCAGCGATGATTCCGAGGACGAAGACGACTTGACCTCAGCACCGCCGCCATCCAAGGGGCCTACGACACCACCTTCGATTTCACCGAAGCAGGATAATCTGGTAGAACCGCCGCCTGCTGAGGAACCTCGTCGTTGGGACCTCATTTCTTTTCTGCAGCAGAATGGCAATCAGAATGCCGAATCGAAACCTGCTCAGGTAAGACTGTTTACATTAATTATGGAGCAATATTTAAATTGTTTCTTCTTCCCAATCTGTTCGTCTCTTGTCAGAGACATGACCTTTTCTGCATAATATATATATCCTCTTATATATGTGAGACTTAATTTTTTAATTCCGGATAGTCATGTTAGAAGAGGTTATTATGACAAAAGTACTCTCGTCATTGCCTTACAAGAGATCAAATAAAATCTAATATACACATATATATATATATATATTCTGGGTGGATTTGAATCCGGATCTTTGATACAGAAAGCAACTCACTATACCATGATCGTCACAATTTTGTTAATATGTTGTAATATTTAAAAATCTGAGGAAATGAACTTTTAAGAAAAAGATTTTAAAACTTTGTAGTTTACTTTTATATAAAAATATAAATATGTTTAAAAGTAAAAAAGTTATTTCTTAACTCAGTGAAACAGTAGATTAAAATCTGAAGATTAAGTAACTCGATCTAGTTCTTAGTGCCTAATTCTATATATTATAAACTAAATATATACAATAATATGACAAACATTTCAACTTATAATTATGAAGTTAGTGAAGTTAATAAAAACCTCCGTAATATAAACAAAAACAAATTAATAAGCACAATAGAGTATAATTTCGCTATAAAGTTGTTTAGATAAGATTACAAATGTGTCAAAAAAATTGTTTGATTATATGTTTAAATTATGAGAAACGATGCCAGAGAAATTATTTTAAAAAAGGGATTGCATTGTTTTTACAGGATAATACCAGACGGGAGAATACGCATGAAATAACGACGGAGACCAGATCACACAGAGAACAGTCTCATGATTGGCAGCTCGGTGAGGCCTTGAAGAGGTCTCATGTGAGTTCTCTCAGTGACAGCGATCATCATTCTGATCAGGAAAAGAATCAATTGGTTGAAGACAATCGCGCTCAGACGGAGAAGCCAAAAGTGGCCGATACTAAGAAACGTGGACGACCCAGGAAATCCATCAAGAGTCCGAAACGTAGTTGTCACCGGACATCGGACGAGAATCTGAAGAACAGTAAGTCCCGCAGCCGGACAAGAACGGTCGCCACTCCTGGCAAGAAAAAGCCACCCAAATCGAAGGAAACGGTGACCTCAAGTGACGACGACAATGATTCGAAATCGCAAAGTGATTCCGACAGTGATCGTCGACCTACCAAAGTAGTGTCGGCCGTAGTACCAACAAGAAACGAAAAGAGATCGAGACTGAGTCTGTCGTCTAGCGACGACGAGAGTTCGCCACCGAACAGGAAAAATAATAATAGTGCCTCCGAGGACGACACCGCGCGATGGACAAGAATTCCCCCCATCAAGCGGAGCAATCTGTTGGACTCGCCGAAGAAACAGGATCAGAAGAAAAGTTCTGCCAAAGGCAAGCCTAGGCAGCCCAGATCTAGAGTGACCAATGTAACCGGCGGTTCGGATTCTGATAGTGAATCAGAGGTGTCTGTAAGGAGTAATCGCATCAAAGTCGCTCGGTAAATTATTTTTCATATAATTAATTATTTCTAATGCATTAATTATCTCTTTTTTTCTTCTTTACTAGATGTTATAAATTATAAATTTTGCACATAATATTTCCATTTAATTTCCATTTGTTGTAATTGTTCATATCTTGCTCTTATATTTTGCACGTAATAAAGAGAGATATAATTTTTTTTTAATAATAAAATAATACGGCAATTTCATTTCGACATTTATGATTTATTAATAATTTAATATTTTATTTTTCGGTTTTTTCTTTTATTTTTATATAATTAAGCAAGACTAATAAATATTTGTTACAATATTTAATAAAAGTATTGTAAATGTCAGAGTGCCACCCAGACCTCGAGCACCACCAACGAGGACGACCTCGCCTGATAACTCTGATAGCGATAACAGCCCGGCGTCAAAATTACAAGAGGATGACGCCGGCAATGTGCAGGACAAGAAGAAAAGCGACACGCTGCGCCACGTCTTCTCGACGTCGAGAGGCATCGGGAAGACGGGTGGTAAAGGTGGGAAAGGTGGAAAAGGCGGTGGTAAATGCGGTATCTACGTAGAAGAGTACACGAGTAATTCTGCTACGCACACACCGACGGGCGGGGACAGTCCGTATAAAAGACCGTCCTCGCGGACGTCCAGTGGTGGCAACAATCCTCTCCTACGCTCCCCTCCAGCGCTCACACATGTGAACGGCGTACCAAGTCTTATGTGCAAGATCGATCTCAGCAGGATATCTTCGCAAATTTTCTCGAATCTATCGAGAGGACAAGAGCTCAGACAACGCACGGAATTGCCTGACACTAGGCCATCTTCGAGACAAAGACCATCCTCCAGTTTGGCGACCTTGCAACCACCGAGGTCGTCCACGCCAGAGGAGGGTGAAATCATCGATACACCGCCTCCGCAACAGCAGATCGTGTCGGATCGTGCGAGAATCCATCGTTCCGACGGACTGCTAAGCGAGAGTGACGGCAAGATTTCACGTTCTGTGATCAAGGCCCAACCGATATCGTCGGATTCGAAGAACGGCGGTACTGTTCTTGGAGGTGCTGGTAGTGCTAATAGTGCCGGTACGCTTGGTAGCGCGCCTAAGAGGAAACGTAATCCGAGTTGTAGTTCCGTGTCTAGTTTGAGCCCTGTTCAGTGTTCGGTAGATGCGAAAACTAAGAATACATCCGAGCATAAAGACAGGAGCCGCAAGAGACAACGGAGACATGCCAACGACGGGCTAATGTCCAGTCAGGTATGGAAAAAGTGAAAAACTTGTCTGTGAACTCTGGCCTGTGAAAACTCGGTTGTAATATTTTTAGCTGTAGATTTGTGTGTGTGTGTGTGTATATATATATATATATATA